TCCACCTCTGGTCTGGAAACAAGGTTATTAAAAAATGGTCACCGTTGCACTTTTTTAAGGACACTTTCATGTCAAGACAGTGGTGAGATCACTGCAAGAAGATGAGAGTGTGGGAAAATGTTGGGAAATGTTGCAAGTCAGATTCAAACTTTCATTAGTTCAGAATCAGAAACACAAGCCATTAATTTGACCTCCTTGTTCAGGCTTTTTCAGGGTGAAAGAGCTCTCCCTGGTGGTAGCAGGGTCATCCCTGTGCAAGGAATGGTTTTAGTGCTGCCAAGCCAAATGTCAGTGCTGACACGGATCAGGGACATGTAAATGAGGTAGCTAATTGCCTCCATTGGATTTTGAAATCAAAGCTCGGTACACTGAGCTGCAAACGGAGCAGTGGAGAAAATTAAACTTCCCCTGCGAGTGACAATCAATGTAAAATGAACAGAATGCAAAGCAAGCACTGTTTCTTTCTCTTCCAATTTAGCAGATCATTATTCTATTTCAAATACTGCAGGAATGTGTTGATCTGCCTGGTGAGGAAATTCAACATTGATTTACTCTGTCAATAACCCGATTGCATTCATTAATTTAAACAGGTAATAAAGCTAATATTTGCCTTGCTCCTGTGTACTGTAAAATATTGCTTTGATTTTACAAAATTTAACAGGATTTATTGCAAAATAAATAAATAAATAAAGTGTTATAGAACACGATCTGTTATTTAAAATAACATTTTGTTCATAAAAAAAAAGGAACTGAATGCATTGCAAGTTCTATTTCAGCACATTATATATTGCCTAAAATTATTTATTTATTTATTTATTAAGTCATGATTCCCATGCAGTCTTAAGGCAATTGACCACCTCTGCATGCAGACGTGTCTCAGTGGAAATAACTTGTGTAAGAGCTCTCTGGGTAAGTGACATCGGATCAGGCCCTCTGTAGATGACCCTGATAAGGCTGAGTTCAGATGTAACTGTGATACAGGATTGCTGGAGAGACTCTGTCCCGCCTGGAGACCCTGTGAGATCACATGAGATCAGACGTTAAGAGAGACTGCTATGGAAATACAGCAAGTTACTGATACGTGTGTTGACCCATCAAAGCTATGGGGAAATCTAACATCAAGTGTGGCCCTTATGAGAATATTCAGAGTATTTATTTTTGCAGCTTTGACTAAGCAAATATGAGAGAATTAATTTCCCTCAGTACCTCTGAATCAATAAGTTATTGCTTTTAATATTTATTCTGCACAACCTTGCATCTCCTTCATGCAGTAAAAATTTAGTCAAAGTAATAACACCATGATTCAAAGATATTGGAAATCCATATATGGTTAGGCCGATTTGTAATGTTCTTTATTACCTTAGAGGAAACATCCCTCATGTCTGTTGTGTGTGTTTGGCTGTGTTGCTGAAGCTCAAAAAAACAAAACAAAAACAAAACACATTTTTAACAATCATCAATTTTTTGTCAAGTGACTCATTATGTAGACCACTGTAGGCTAGTTAACTGCTAATCAAAACTTGTTATGCAAATAAGCATGTCTATTTAATATCGTAAGTAGGGCTGTAGCCATCGATTATTTTAGTAATCGAGTATTCTACAGATTATTCCATCAATTAATCGAGTAATCAGATAAGAAGTAATTTTTCTTTATTAAAGAGCAATACTAGATACACAAGAGAAAATAAGATAGGTCTCTTAAAATAAACAACTCATTTGTTTCCTTTTTAGAAAAATCTACATTTTTACTGCTGAAATTGCATACATTAATTACCGTTAAAACTAAACCCATACAAATGCATAAATAATATTTTGTTATTTTAAACATGAAACATTGAATTCTGATATTTACAATTATTTTAAAAATGAAAAGATACTTTAAATGTGAAATTAAAACTGCCAGTAGGTGGCAGCAAGTCACTGTTAATAAGTGAGTCATTTCGACTGAACCGAATCATTTGAATGGTTGATTCATTCAGGAACGAAACGCCGTCATGTTGCTCAAAGACGCAAAACAGCGCTGTGGCTTTGTTTGGAATTATTTTTTGTTGGCGAAATAGAGCACTACATGCAATATGGTGTCTAAAACGTAAATATCTTATTCTTAAACTTGTTTATTGAACTGTTGCATAAAATCAGTAACACATTTGTAATCATGCTTATTTTTAGAGGTGAAAACTGGCACTCTTCGTGTGATAGTGACAAACTTTCTTTCTGTGGTATTTTTATGCATAACGGGGAGGTTGTGTGTGTGTGTGTGTGTGTGTGTGTGTGTGTGTGTGTGTGTGTCACAGAGAGAGAATGAGACGATCAAATGAATGGCGCTTAGTCTTTCACAAAACATATCAAACTTAGGGACATCATAACTAGCCACCATATTGATTTACGGTCTTCAGTGCGTTCCAAACAGGATATATCGCCCTCCGAAGGGCACTTCGGAGTAAAAACAATCATGGCCGCCATATTGAAGAGTCGTTCCAAACCAAAGTGCTCAAAACTGGCCACTTCAAAGGGGTCCTTCAGAATGAAGGATTTCGAAGGGTACAACTGATGGACACTTCGGGCTCCCATGATCCTTTGCGCAGATTCTTTGCATGATGACGGCGCCTCCGTGTGGGCACGTGATGATGACGCAGAAGGGCACTTCAAGAAACAGTTGTTTGGTCCCCTAAACCCTTCAACCCTTCGAAGCTCTCACTCCGGAGGGTAAACTCTTTGAAGCGATTAGGGCATAGGGATGTGCCCTTCCGAATGGAACGCAGGGCTTATGTCTAGCGTTTATCGGGTTGTGCATCAGTAATAATGGTCCGTGGGGAAACACAGTGTTCCATGTGTAGTTACAGTAAATGGACTAAACGAAGCCTCGAGGCAAATAATTTGCATAGATGATTTTTTGTATTCGAGTTACTCGAGGAATCGTTTCAGCCCTAATCATAAACTTGTGCTTGTGCTTGTGTGGTTGGTTGTGTTGGCCTTGTGAAACAGGTGAATTAATAATCTTGTGAATACTAAAGCTGCCCAGTTTGAAAATTATTTTGTAGAAGGCGAAATGTGCAACACTATGGTACTAGATGGAATTGCTGATTAATGCTGTGAACCAAATGGTATAAATCCACCTCTGAAGGGCACTTCGTAGCGAGAACAGTCATGCTATACTAAAGGGTCATTCCAAACTAAAGCCACATCAAATAGTCCTTCGGAATGAAGGATTTTAAAGAAACACTTTGTGCAATGATTCTTTGCACAGGTTGAATTGCACGGCAAAGGCACTTCCTTAATTGGTTGGCAAGGTGACAAAGAAGTGCATTCCAAGGGATAGTTTTTGGGCCCCTACACCCTTCATCACTTCGAAGCTCTCACTCTGGAGGATAAACCCTTCAAAGGGATTATGATATAGGGATGAGCCCTTCAGAATGAAATGCAATAATAATCACCTCCTGTATTCCATTGATTGGACAAACAGATTGGTTGAGCCAATGCTGCTTGTTGGACCAGCCAGGATGCTCAGCCAAATGAAGCAAAAGCTGTGCCTAAAATGTTATACTGTATAAAGTATTTTCTATGAATGTGTGTAGTATACAGTAAATGCAATCTGGATGTACTATGTAGAAGGAAAGTAGACATTCAAACACAGGGAATGTTTTGAAATCCACATACTAATGCCAAGATTACGCTTCTCTGCATATTAAACTGGACTAGGAGAAAGTATTTTAAGTAGTTTCACCTTTAATCCACCCATCCATCCATTCTTCAAACCGCTTACCCTATATAGGGTCATCGGAATGCTGGAGCCTGTGTTTCACCTTTAATGATAATATAATATTGATTGTGTCAGACAAAGTGTACATATAGCAATAATGAGGCAGATAAGGATTTGTGTATTTGTATATTCAACAATTTATTAAATATAATGGTAAAACAATTGTGAATTAAACTGTCTGAGAAGCTATGAAGCTCTGACTCCAGCTTGTCTCAACACACCTGTCTAGAAGTTTCTAGTAAACATGTGCACCTTGATTAGATCTAGGCACAACATGGAGCAAAAGTGAATTCGTGGAGACATCCAATGCAAATTTAAAATCTGTTTTATAATTGTTCCTTGAGCTTGATTTGCTTACTCAGGCTTTCATTGTTTCATCGTAGCTTAATATACACATCCTTCACAACAAGCTTCTCTTACCCTCTCCTCTTAATCTCAGTTTGTTTTATCTTAAGCTTTCCATTTAGTTTTTTTCCTTTCTCTCTCTCTTTCTCTCTCTCTGTCACTTCCACAACCCCATCTTACTTCGCTGCTTTCTTCCTATCCTGTTTTCACTTGTTCTCTCTCCTCCCTTTCCTTTCTGTCCCTGTAATTTGCTCAGAGGGGCGCTGACAGTGAGTTCTGATACATCCTTTGGCAAGCCGAAATTCTAGGGGAAGAGAACAGTTAGCATGAAAGAAACAAGCCCTCGCAGATTTATAAAGACATTCGCCATTGTTCTTCCTTTACTGCAGGGTAATTTGCAAATAGCAATGTCACACTTCAAATGTTGGATACGGAAATAAGCTTCCTCTGCCAAGAGGCACTGGGGATCAAATCATGAAAAGCACTTGAGGCCTCATCAGCAGGACATTTCCAGATAAAATATAAAGAAAACTTCCAGAAAGGTTATTTCTTAAATGGTTACATCAAACACAACACTCTCTGATTCCTTATTCAGACAGAATTTGAGGTGAAATTGAAAGGTCTTTGCAAGGGAGCGCCGATGCGAATTTATGGTATGCTGCTTCACCGCTCTGACAAAGCTCCCACAATCCCACTCTGTCTGCATCTACCTCAGAAAGTCACTTCAGGGAAATCTTGGTTTTAACACTGACAGAACTTTTTCCTTGTCTGTGACAGAATGATCGTTTTTAATGTTCATTGTTCAAAGAACAACATCAACGTTAATTTTACCAATTTTCAAGTTCACTTATTGAAAACAAATTAACATTATCATTTTTTTCTTGATTGTTTTCAGCACGCGAGGACAACATGGCGACATTCCGGGGTTCGGAGTACTTCTGCTATGACTTGTCTCAGAATCCTATCCAGAGTAGCAGTGATGAGATCACTCTGTCCTTCAAAACTTGGCAACGCAACGGTCTCATCCTCCACACGGGCAAGTCGGCTGACTACGTTAACCTAGCGCTGAAAGACGGTGCCGTTTCGTTGGTCATCAACCTGGGCTCAGGAGCCTTCGAGGCTATCGTTGAGCCTGTCAATGGAAAGTTCAATGACAACGCCTGGCATGACATCAAAGTGACACGCAACCTGAGACAGGTAATCACTAGACGACGGCTGCTCTTAAGACTACTCACAGCTAGCTGGAGAACTAGTTAATGTTCTAATTCAAATATAATTATGTTGCAGCTGGTTTATAATCAGATTATTTTTTTTGTAACTGTCACTATTTAATTAAGACTGAATTTAGTTGCATTGAAATTTGTTAACTAGTTTCCTAATAATTAAAGAGTATGTTCCCTGCTGAAAAAAACAATAGATATCATCACAAAATTTGTAATGGTTGTACTGGTTATAATGAGACTTGTATTGGTGTTAATGGAAACTGTAATGGACCCTGTGTGTCTCTACTGGTAATTGGTCACCTTCTATTGGTGGCTTGTTAAAACCAATAAATCCTAATGGAATATGTCAGAAAACACAGTACAGAAAACCATTTTTTAATGGTTAAAAGTTGATGGTTTGTAATGTTTGTAATGGTATTTGTAGTGGAAACCATTAGAATTTTCTGTGATGGTTTTATTGTTTGTTTTTTCAGTAGGGTTCTTATTTCCTCCTGTGTTTTCAAACCTTAAAGTCTTTTATCTCTTTTACTTGACATGGTTTAACACGCAAGGGCATCAGAAAACTCAAAGATTGACTTCAAATCCTTTCAGTCTATGCTCCAAAGCTCTACAAGTGTCAGCGAACTTTCAAAGTTTTATCTTAGCAATCACCTTTTAGACAGTGGTCGACAGTTATTTCCATTTAACGTTTACATTTAAGCAAGGTACTTGGAGGTCTGACTAAGCCAGCAGTTTGTTTAGAACAAATAGCTTTGCAGTGAATCTTAAATACAGTTCTTAACTGAAGAGACCAGGACCCTCATTTATAAAGATTCACCTAATCATTTTAAATGTATACAGTACATACAATAATGTCCTAAATGTTTCTATAAACTCTTTACAAAACTTCTGCATGCATGAAAACTTGTTCCTAAATCCATTTGCTTTGTTATTGCAAATAATATTAATATTGTGCAGACCTAAAAAGGAAATTTAATTCAGAAAGACAATAAAAAGCATAAAAGTCTAATAAAAACATCGGTTGCAGCCTAACTTTTTCAACTTAACCTAATCAGTAATACAATTTGAAATCACATTGTCATAAAACTTTCAAGGAAGAGCTTTTAGTACTACTTGTTTTAGCCTTCCATTTTTTAAAAACATTATTTCTTAAAATATTACCCAAAAATCATTCTTCTCCTTGCTCAAAGTTTGAGCAAACATGCTTTACTGTGTAGTGGTAGCATTTTTTTACTGCAAATTGCATGTTAACTTAATGACTAATGAAAACATAGTAATTAGAGTATTAAAGGTGCAATAGGTGATTGTCTTCAGAAACATTTTTTTGTTATGCTGGTTGAAAGTCTCTTCACATCCCGATAGCAATCATTGAGTTAAGTGGTCTACATGTATTTATCTGTATTTATATATTCTGTGGAAGGCATAGGACCTAAGTTAAGTGGTCTAAATGTATTTATCTGTATTTATATATTCTGTGGAAGGCATAGGACCAAGAAATGTTTGTCCAATCAAAACGCTCGGCCCGAGCATTTTATTTGGCTTTCCTACCTGTCTGTCAACATAAGTATTTGCATACCTCTGCGCACCCAGTTCGCGCAGACAGGATAAGTCATCAGCGTGTTCACACATACTGTGCAGACAGAGCGAGAATGGCAGACAAACATCAACAACCCGATCTTCCTTCCTGGTATTGTAGTACTTTTACTAACTGTACTATAAAGTTTTCTCACCAGTGAATGAAACATGATGTAGCCTAGCAGTTCCCAATTCTAGTCCTCGCGCCCCCGCGCTCTGCATATTTTGCATGTTTCGCTTAGTTAACACACCCGATTCAGATAACCAGCTCGTTAGAAGTGAGCTACGTGCATGAACTGTGTTCTGATCAATATGATCCCTACACAGTGTTCATTGCTCCCTACTCCCTGAGCAGGAGAAATCCGTTGAAGTTTACTTAACTTCTCATTCACGGATTTGCGCTGCGCAGCGTCTGGATATGTTTTTATAAAGTCTATGGTCTGGATGCGAGGGTGCGAGGACTGGAATTGGGAACTGCTGATGTAGCCCATTGTAATGTTGTCTCTGGTATTCTGGTCTGTGAGCGTAAATGCGTTCAGGGGGCGTGCCTTTGGACGGCGATTGCAGGAAGGGTGGGACGTTCGCTTCCAGTGCTATCAGGCTAAAGTTAGCATTTTCCAAGATCTCCTACTGCACCTTTAAATATACTTATAATAATCTTAAAATTATTGTTAACATTTAACATTTTTAATAGCTTAACATTGTTAGATAAGTTGTCCCTTTTGAACTGAAATCTAAATCTCGATTTGTCACTTTTAAAGTGGAATAAAATCCATAGAATGTAGTATGGATATTGGATATTGGATCGTATGTAGGTTTTATAAATGAGGCCCCAAATGTTCGCTTACATGGAGCCTTTGATACATTTCCATCAGTAAGAGGGTTTGTATGTTCGAGGATTGGGTTTGAGTCTTCAGTGAGATCATGCTTGATTTGTTTGGCTGACCTTAAACTTTACTGGCAGGTGAGAGAGATTTATATGGAGTGAAAATATGATGAGGGCTTGACAAGTAAGTGCTTTTTTCATGTCACTACTTTGTTCAGACTGGTAAAAGATATAGCACAAACCTCATGGGATGTTTTCAGGCTAGCGTATGAGCTGACAGACTGAAGGAGATCTCTTTCTCTTGATCTCTCTCTTTCTCTTTCTCTAATTCATGGGCATAGCTGTTTTAAAAAAATGGTGGGGATAGTTGAGTTGGGAGCACAGATTTTCTGGTCGTGACATAAGAAAATGGTGGCGCCTTAGCTCATGGATATCATTTAGATTATACGCAAATAATGTAAAATGATCTGTTACTGATAATAAAATAAATAAATACATACATTGATGCCAGCAAATAAAAGTAGTAATAGTAATTATAATGGAAAACATTATAATTACTATTACCAAGTACTTTTATTTGCGGGTATTATTACCTTATTCAAAAATAAATCATTTTAAGGCTCTTTAAATGCTTTTCATTTTATTTATTTTAAGTGCTCTATGGCGGAATTTGCATATTCTTTCCTATGACTACTACAAAAATGAATTGATTGAATTAATTAAAAATGACTAATGTACCTACCTATTTCACAAAAGTATTTTCATAAGTAGAGAATGAAATAGAAACAATAACATTATGATTAGAAATGTATTTTAAACAATTTCAAAAGCATACCGAGTTGCTGTGTTTTTGAAGGAGCAGTCATTTTTCCTGATCACTTTGAGAACTTAAACTTGCTACAAGTCTAATTTGATAAGCTGATATCTTGATACCTCTGTTTTGATATCTCTACGTCAGCTACTGATGTTGTTCCGATTTATTTATGTTACAATTTTACTGGAATGAATAGCAAGCAGCAATAAAACACAATTTTCAAAATTGACTAGCTAGTTTCGAGATGCATTTTTAACTTGACAATCATAGTGTAATGGTCACAAACTACATGATGCAATTGCATGCAATACTAAAGGTGTAGAGTGGTGCTTTTAAGATGATGAATTTAAAGACACAACTTGTCTGAGAGGCTTTTATCATATAAAACGTATAGCAGGCTAAGGACAGCACACCATCAGCATCCTAAGTAAAACACATACCCTTAAAATCAAAAACTAGTCAACAATCTTTAACAATCACTAATTAGTCTGTTGTTGGACGACTAGTCAAATAGTCAACCGGCGTGATCCAACCATTGGCCACATGTCCCCACTGTAAAATGCTCTCATTTTACTGTACTCTTCCTATTTAATCTGTCTTTCCTTTCCTGTTTCTTACATCTTGGGAAGAAACAGTTTTTGGGACTAACACTATTCATTCATGGTATCATTTTTATTACTAACCTGTTTCTAACCAAACTAATGTACTAACACCCTGAATCTTCATCATTAATTTCTTTCTCTTTTAATTTCGTCCATTTATTAACAACCGTTCTGTTCACTATTGTTTTGATTTCCTTTCTTCCCCCTTCTTCCTGAAAGCACTCAGGCATTGGACACGCTATGGTAAACAAACTACATTGTCTGGTAGATATCATTCTTATTGTCCTTTCTTGGTTTGCCGTGTGTCCCTCTCCCTTTCTTTCTTTTTCTTTGAGTTTCATTCTAGACACTCTTTTCAAAAAATGAGGAAATGGGTTTGTATTACCAGGACTTTTCACATTTCCCCCCTTTACCCCCCTCTCAAACTTCCTTCCCTTCTTTTACAGTTTTGTTTCTTACTGGTTTTTTGTTTATCAGGCTGGCTTTTACATCCTCACGTTAACGTTATGTAGAGATTCACATCCTCACTGGGACTCTCACAGTAACTAGTAAAGTGTTTTTTCTCCCCACACCAAGCCTCCACATTTTTTGCGAGGACTGTCGGCAATAACTGACAGAGGATTTCCAAGAATGTCCACAGGGGAAATTTCCACCTTGCAGAGGCTCCCGAAAATAAACAAACACACAAGAGAAACCTAAGAACTCTGGGAACTCTGGCAGTTGATACCTCCACACCACTCATAGCATGTCCACATATCCACCATCTCATTCAGCCTCATATATCACTGTGACTAACACTACATTCAATTTATCACTCCGCTTCCACCCAAATCCCTTGTGTGTGTCTACCGTGTGTCTTGTTGCATGGCCTTCCTGCTTCTTTTTTTTTTTTTTTATTCTGCATGGGTGCTTGCTGATTGGCTGTTGTGGCTTTGCTCCTCCCCTTTTCATTGAACCAATGAATCATCAATCCTTCTCATGTTTATTCAGTATGACCTTTTGAAAAAAGGATAATTTGATTTTTTGACAGTGGTTAATGCCTTCCTTTAATGCATGCATGTTCAAGTATGTGTTTGAACTTCTGTTTATGTGTATGAGTGAGCGTGTGACAAAGTAGCGTATCCCCCAAAACTAAAACAAGTACAAATAATTTGTCCTTGGTTTTAACATTTACTAACCCCAATTAGTAATATTCCAAACCAGATAAGAATTCATTTTCTTAACCCATGAAAGATGAAGAAAATATTCATCAGCAATATTTTCTTTACCTGTCCCGTGAACCTGTACTAAACTATCACCAATAAATCTTATCCAGACCAATGGTCCAGAGTGTTAGCAGTAAGCGACCCGAAATACGGGCAAATCTGAACAACATGGACCATAATAAACAATAAAATAAGGTTATCGCTCAGGTTAAAAGTGCGTTTTTAAATGAGTTACTAATTTGTTGTGTTTCTATATTGTCATCATTTAACAGGTGACTATATCAGTGGATGGTATATTGACCACCACAGGATACACTCAGGAGGACTACACTATGCTGGGCTCAGATGATTTCTTCTATGTGGGGGGAAGCCCAAGCACTGCCGACCTGCCTGGATCTCCAGTCAGCAATAATTTCATGGGCTGCCTAAAAGAGGTGGGTCCTATAAGATGTGCATAATCGTGCATGCACGCACGAACGCACACATGCACACTGTGTAAATGACATCATAAAAAGCCTGTCGGGATGTTAATGCCTTTATAAGATACAGAGGTCCCAAAAAGTATTTGTACACTTAAGTCATACTTAAACATTTATGAATTTCATACACAGATAAGAAAAATAATATCAAACATGGCATCTGCACGGAAATTTTGCTTTACCAGAACTAGCTTAACTTTTGTAGTCAATTATGCATTTGCTTTTAAGCAACTGGTCTCATTGTGGGGTTTTTTTTCAACTGCTTACACACATTTTCAACATTTGCCTCTTTTTTTTTTTTTAAACCTTACACACAAATCCAAGAATTGCAAACACAAAATGCAAAATTCCTCACATCTCTTGCAAAATTAAGCACTGCATTCAAAATATCACAAACACATCTCAAAAGCAAACATTTGCAAACACCTTTGCCATAATATTAATTCCTGTTAGATTTTTTGTGTGTTACATAGAGAATTGTTTGTTAAAAATGTTTTATGAATTGAGGCAGAGAATTAAGTGTATGGTTTTGCAGATTTGGTGTGTGGTCAGGTTTCAGAAATTGTGCTACAAGTAAAGATTTGGTGTGTAAGCAGCTGATAAAAACTGTAATAGATGTCAGTTTCCGTCAAGTTGTCCGAATTGTGAACAATTTGAGTTGAATTGCTGAAATAAATGAACTTTTCCACGACATTCTAATTTATTGAGATGCACCTGTAAATATGTATGTTAAATACATTTCCGTGGCCACATACATATTTATTCACACAAAGCTGTAATGATTATGAATAAAAATAAGCCTGCTTTGCACAGTGATTTTCAATATAACTGTGGTGGAGTGAGTGAAGACAGTGGGTGTGAAGTCAACTGTTCTATTTGAAATAAAAATTGAACATTGAATTTGATTTTGATATGCACATGATCCCGGCTGTTGTTACTTACTTCCCATGGTTCAGGCACACAATAGAGTTCAGGAGTCTAGAAACATGTTTTTAAATATATTTTTTAAACTATTTCAAACTGTTAAATTGGCAGAAAAGTGTAAAAATGGTGCTCACACTGTGAGATGCAACGGCTTGATTTTGTTCTAAATGACGTCACTCCAGCTTGATGTATATTGGGGCCTTAAGTCAGCTAACTAAGGCATGTCATACATCACTATATGTGTCCTAAAATCAGCTGAAAATATCTGGATGGAATCATAGTCTGAAGCAAAAAAGAAGCTGTGCCCATCATACACTACAAGGTTTTCTGTGAAACCTGTCAACTCCTAAAAAATCTACAGGCTTGCTCTCACTTTCAGCAACTAGCGCCCACTTTTCCAAGACTACATATTGGGGCAAAAAAATAGGTAAAGGTTGTGTAATGTATTCTAGCCAACAGACTCTCAAACTTAACTGTAAAATGGATTTCTGTCAACTACAAGCAAGTTTCTTTTATTTTAGACTACAAGTAAGCTTATTTTCACTGAAATTGTAAAAATAAAATAATAAAATTAAAATAAAAATCCATTGATTTCTAAAGGAACGTTTGTAATGTATATTCAGTGCAATGCTTTTAAATAATTAAAAGCCTTTACAAAATATTTGATTTCTAAGTATCATCTTGAATCTGCTGAAATGCAGATCTAAATGTAGTTCTAAATGTAGTTTAGAACATCACATTTGTTATACTTTGGTGAGCTCATTAAATCAAAATTTAAATTAGTTTTTGGAAGCAACAGTGTGCCTTTTTTATGATCTGCATTATGGTTGTGCACCTGTTTCTCATTAGTTTGGATATCCATGCTTTATACCTTTGTTTTATACTGTATATAGACTTATCGACAGTATGTATGTAATATGGAGTCTTTTTTTTGTTGCTACAGTTCCCAGTGGCTGTTTTCATTTACGAAATTTCGCTGTTGGCTCCATCATTAGATGTAATTATGGAACATAGACTGTGTAATCCACTGGAGCCAAATAGCTGTTTCATGCAGGAAACATCCTGCCTCAGCTAAAGTGACATTCATGGCTTCTTTCAGGAAGTTTACCACCTCCAGAAGCAGATTCCATTAGGAGTTGCCAGCACATAGACATGCACATACGCATGCACAGACACACGCAAATACACACACACTCGTGGCTTGCAGTACCCGACACACACGGGTGGTCTATAATAACCATCATAATGAAAGGTCACCTTGTCTCTGCTGTTTAATCTGCCACTGGTTTCTCCTCTGCTCTCTCTCTATCCCCAGTCCGGCTATTAATATCAGTCGCATAGCAGTGGATGCTCATGTGCCTGTCCCTGCCACATTCTAAGACACAGCCTGTGCCAACAGTGATGAAAGACTTGCCGAATTAGAATTGCCCAAGGAGTACTAAAAAGGGCAGGCACTTTATTTCAGTTAAAGCCAGGGCGAGTGTAGCAAAACGTCCTCTGAGATAGGGATCGTCCCTCATTTACACTCCGTTTCATGACAACAGTGTTGAAGGGTCTGAACTTTCTGGCTTAATGTCATACACGACCCCATTCTATTTCAGTTAAAGCCAGGGCGAGTGTAGCAAAACGTCCTCTGAGATAGGGATCGTCCCTCATTTACACTCCGTTTCATGACAACAGTGTTGAAGGGTCTGAACTTTCTGGCTTAATGTCATACATGACCCCATTCCCCCCTCCCCCGCCCCCCAAAAGATGGTGATTTACTGTAAGATTTTGGAGCCGTATTAAACATCTTGACTGTAGTATCCTATCTTATTTGTTTAGCAACCATGGCTATTTCTGGTATGATCAAGGTAGGATAATAAGCAATAGCGTAATACTGATATCAGCTTACATAAGCTTAGATATGTGAGAGCAAACCTCACTGAATGCATATTGCTGAATATTACTTTTCATTTACTTAAATTAATGGTGTTTGTGGTCACAGTTGTATTCTGTGATTGTGCTTGTTGAATAGCTTATATGACAGAAAAGTGGTCTGCATCTTGAATAAGTTTCCCATATTAAAGTTTTTCATCTGTCATATTTAGCTGTTGATGCAGACATTGATGCATAAATGCGGATATATATTCTACGCTAATGTATATGAAAAGTCTAACTAGTCTATAACTAGTCTTACAAACCCTTAAATATCTTTCTCTTGATAAGCATATTTCCTATAATGTCAACTGCTCACTTGTCAGACTCATCTGTAATCCTCAGATAGCTTCAACAGTTAGAACCGGCTCATTTGGTTCTTTTTGAGTCGAACACGACTGAAAAGCTGACTTTTAACTCTGCCTGTAGACTTGATTCATTAATTTTGAACCGGTAATTTGGTTCAATAACTGGTCTGGTAAAAGCTACATACTTGTTCATTGGAAGTTCTTAGACTTGTGGCAGGTACACACAGGTTTGTTGTTGATGATACATACATTGATGATTTCTTCAATGATGAAATACACTCACTGGCCACTCTATTAAGTACACCTTCATAGTACCATGTTGGACCCCCTTTTGCTTTCAGAACTGCCTAAATTCATTGTGACAGATTAAACGTGGTGCTGGAAACATTCCTCAGATATTTTGGTCCATATTTACATGATAGCATCACACAGTTGCTGAAAATTTGTCATAGTGAACTCATTGTCATGTTCAGAAAACAAGAAAACAAGACATTGCGTGTTATCCTGTTGGAAGTAGCTATCACAAGATGGATACACAGTGGTCATAAAGGGATGAACGTGGTCAGCAACAATTCTCAGGTAGGCTGTGATGTTTAAAGCAAAGCTAGGGCTGGGTCTTCCTCTTCCTGGGGCAGCGCTTGCAGGCTCACCACCTGATCCCTGAAGGGAGTAGTGGGAACCTTGGGCGCATAGCCGGGCCGGGGCCTCAGGATTACCTGGAGTTAGTCAGCCCAAACTCTAGGCATGATTCCTCGACCGAAAATGAGTGCAGGTCCCTTTGGGGGTCTTCTCGGTGAGCAGAACACCGCTCGACGAACAGGTTCCACTTCAAGGCGTAAGCGTGTCTTAGACTGTGCTCTCACCGAAGTGATGGTGTCAACTACCTCTGGGGTAGGTCACCTAGAACCTCCGTGTCCTGTCCAGGGACCAGACATGACGTGAGGTCTGGACACGGGTGCCACAGGGTGCCCCGTCTCCGAGTCAGTTGATCCTTCCTCAGAGGAATCTGCCAGGGAGGGGCTGTCACGAGGAGCATTAGTTCTGGGAACCAGGTCCGAGTGGGCCAGTAAGGTGCCACAAGCAGGACCTGCTCCTCTTCCTCCCTGACCTTGCACAGCGTCTGTGCGAGAAGGCTCACTGGGGGAAACGCATACTTGCGCAGGCTCCGCGGCCAGCTGTGTGCCAGTGTGTCCGTACCGAGTGTTCCCTCGGTCAGGGAGTAAACAACTAGCAGTGAGAGGTCTCTGGAGAGGCAAACAGGTCTACCTGAGCACAACACAGTTGTGCAGGCCCGTAATGTGAATGGCACAAAGCAACCTCAGATGCTTCTGACTCCAGGGGAGGAGGTGGCGGGCGAGTTGCGACATGCAGCGGGAGCGTAGACCACTTTGTCAGCTGATGTACACAACGGTCGCAGTGTTGTCCGTGCGGACCAGCACGTGCCTGCCTCGTAAGCGCCCTCTGAGACGGTTCAAGGTAAGGCGTACTGCTAACAACTCTAGGCAGTTGATGTGCCAGTGCAGTTGGGGGCCCGTCCAAACCCCCGACACTGTGTGCCTGTTGTACGTGGCCCCCCAGCTGGTGCTGGAGGCATCTGTGTAAACCACAGCATGCCTGGAGATCTGTTCTAGGGGCACTCATGCTCGGAGGAACGCAAGGTCTGACCACGGGGTGAAGGTTTGGTGGCAGGCTGGTGTGACTTGGA